ACTCAGGTCAGAGCAGGTGATCAGGGGTGACTCAGGACAGAGCAGATGATAGAGGCTAGGAGGGGATTGTTTACTGAAGCTAGAGGCAAGAGGGCAAAGAGAACCAGGAAGTGAAGCTTTAAAATGGAGAACAGAGAATAAGAGAGCTGAATATACTGACATACGGATTCTTTGAAGAGAAACTTGGAGTTCACTACATTTAACACCTACTGTTATTGTATTGCAGTCTATCTCTCCCTTTACCTCTAATAATACTTGCTTTATATATCTGGGCGCTCTGATCTTGGATGGATGGATGTATTTATAGTTTTTATATCCTCTTGTTTAATTATACCCTTTATCAATGTCTAATGACCTTCTTTGTCTTCTTTTACAGTTTTTGACTTAAAGTCTATTTTATCTGACATGGTTACTCCTGCTCACTTGTTTCCATTTGCATGGAATATCTTTTCCCCTCCCTTCACTTTTAGTCTATGTTTGTCTTTAATGGTTAGGTGAGTCTGTTGTAGGCAGTATATAGTTAGGTCTTGTTTTTAATCCATTCAACCACTCTATATCTTTTAACTGGATAATTTAATCCATTTATATTTAAGGTTATTATTGATACAGAAGGTCTTACTCCTGCCATTTTGTTAATTTTTTTCTGGTGGTTTTATAGATCCTTCATTCCTTTCTTCCTCTTTTATTTATTTCTGTGGTCTGGTGGTTTTCTGTGGTGCTGTGCTTTGTTTCCTTTCTCTTTCTTGTTTGTGCCTCTGCGGTAATTTCTTTCTTTGTGGCTACCATGGGCTAACATTAAAAGTCTTATAATAGAATGTTTTAAGCTGATAGCAACTTAACTTTGGTTGCATTAAAATACTCTAGACTTCTCTCTTTTGTTGCTGTAATTTACTTTTTTACCTGTGATTGTGTTCCTTAGCTACTAATTGTAACTGTCATGGATTTTGACCGTTTTGACTTTAAACCTTCATACTAGAGGACTGAGAGACTTACATAGCACCATTACATCACTGGGCTAGTCTGAATTTGATTTATAAATTTACCTCTATTGGTGAGTTTTATACTTTCACATCTTTTCATGAAAGTAATTATCTTTTGTTTCCAGTTATACCATTCTCTTAAATATTTCTTGTAAGGCTAGTCTATTGGTGATGGATTTTTCTCAGCTTTTGCTTGTCTGGGAAGCTCTTTATTTTTCCTTCACTGGTGGATGATAGTTCTGCTGGATATAGTATTCTTGGCTAAGAGGTTAAGGTTTTTTCCCAAAAAACTTTGAATATATCATCTCATTCTCTCCTGGCCTACAAGGTTGCTCCTGAGAAACCCAGGGGGACAGGGCTGCTGCTTGACCAACTATCAGGCCAAGCATGGGTAGAGCAAGGCCACACAACCTTGCAGTGGTCTGTCTTTGGGGCAGGGTTGCTGCTAGACTGGCTGTCGGGCACAGTGGTGTGTGGCCACAGAAGGGTTGGGTGGTTCTGCAGTGGTCTGAGGGGTGGAACCACTGTAGGACTGGTTGTTGGGCTGGATATGGGTGTGCATGAGTTCAACTGGCCAGCTAGCTGTGCAGCGCAGGTAGGTACTGGTGAGGGGACTGGCCAGCAGTTAGGCAGTTTCACCCCTGTGCAGGTTTGGCTCTTCCTGGGGTTGGGAGGGTAGTGTGCCACATGGGTGCAAGTGCAGAGGTCTCAGTTGTTCCATCTGGCTAGGCTTCAGGCAGCTAGGATCATAGTGCTACAGGCACCTATGCAAACATGGTAGAGTGATGGCAGGGCTACAGGAATGGAAAAAGTCCATTCCTATACTGGACCACAGGGAAGGGCACATTCTAGTAGTAGGTCCAGTTTCAAGATGGTACTGAGTAGCAGCAGCTTAGGATGTGAGGGTCGGGGGCAGGGGGTGCTCAAGGTGAGCTCCTACTCTAGGCACAGTAACTGCATGAACTCCTGGCTACTCTCCAAGCTGGCTGGATTCAGGGCCTGTGAGGACTGGGGGACTCTCCTATAGCAAGAATTTCTGGCATTTATGGTAGCAATGGGGATCACTGGTGATCTCCAGCTTACTTTTTCCCCTTAAGAAGCCCCCTCTGGCTCCAGGCTGATCCTGGTGGGGGAGACAGTGTGGCAGAAGCAGAATGCCTTGCTCCCCTCTCTATGGTGCTGCCCTGGGCTTTTGTCTTCCACAGGGATTTTGCTGTTCCCCTGGTGCTCTCCAGAGTACTTCTTTGGTCATTTTAATTGAAATATAGTTATTTATTCTTTGTTTTGGTCCCTTTTTGTGGAGAGGATGGGCTTTAGGTAACTCAATTTGGCCATCCTGCTGACATTACTCGAACTTATCTAGGGCTATTTTAATATTACTATTATTATTATTTGAAACAAGGTCTGGCTGTGTCAACCAGGCTGAAGTACAGTGGTGCATTCTCAGCTCACTACAACCTCTGCCACCCAGGCTCAAGCTGTCTTCCCATCTCAGCCTCATGAGTAGGTGGGACTACAGGCACGTGCCACTGTGCCCGGTTAATTTTTGTATTTTTTGAAGAGACGAGGTTTTGCCATGTTGCCCAGGCTGGTCTCAAACTCCTGGGCTCAAGCCATCTGCCTGCCTGGGCCTCCCAAAGTGCTGGGATTACAGGCGTGAGCTCCTGGCTGCTATTATTTTTAAATTAATAAATACATTTTTTTAATTTTTAAATTTTAATTTCTAGTAAGATAAATATTAATCCCCATATAAACAAAAGCTGTCTGGGATTCTCAATAATTTTAAAAAATATTAAAGGATCTTGAGACCAAAACATTTTGAGAACCACTGCTCTAGATATTAAAATAACAATTAAATATAGTCTAAGGGTATTATTAACAACTTTATGCCACTAAATGTGATAATATAGACAAAATGGAAAATTTCTTAAAAAACCAAAATAGAAAATTTGAATAAGCCTAACTCTTTTAAAGAAATGGAACCCTTTATTTAAAACTTTCCCATAAGGGCTGGGCACAGTGGCTCACGCCTATAAACCAGCACTCTGGGAAGTCGAGGTGGGAGGATTGCTTGAGCTCAGGAGTTCAGGATCAGCCTAGGCAACATAGCGAGACCTGCTCCACTAAATATCAAAAAAAGTTAGCCAGGTGTGGTGGTGTGCACCTGTAGTTCCAGCTACTTGCAAGGCTGAGGCGGGAAAATCGCTTGAGTCTAGGAGATCAAGGGTGCAGTGAGCTATGATCACGCCACTGTACTCCAGCATGGGCAACAAAGTAAGACTCTGTCTCAAAAATAAAAACCAAAAATCAAAAATAAAACCCTCCCACAGGGAACACTGTAAACCTAGATGACTTGATTGGTGAACTCTTCCAATCATTTAAGGAGGAAATAACCCAAATCTTACACAAATTCTTACAGAAATAGACATGTAGAAAACACTCGCAATTCATATAACCTTAATTCATGAAGCTGACCAGCATATTACAAGAAGAGAAAATTATAAGCCAATTTCTTTCATGAACGTGGTAGAAATTCTAAACTAAATATTAGTGAATATGTTTAAAAATCTATATAAAAAGATGATACATCTTGGCCAAGTTGAGCTTGTCCCAAGAATTCAACGTTGCTTTATCATTCAAAAATTATTCAGTGTAATTCATCTTCCTAACAGAAAAAAGGAGAAAAGCAATCATCTCAATATATGGGGAAGAATAGCATGTGATAAAGTTCAACATACACTAATGATTAAAAAACAGCAATGAGAAACCCTCTTAGCCTGTTTTCTATAGGAATAGAAGGCAGTTGCTTTAGTTTGATGAGTAATATCTGCATAAATCTTACCAAAAAAAATTACACTTAATGAAAAAATACTGAAAGCATTCTCTTTGATGGCAGGATTACAGAGAATGAAAGCTTACTATCATCACTGCTTTTTAGCGTGTCCTAGAGATTCTAGCCAAAGCATTAAGGCAAGAAAAGAAATAAAAATTGGAAGGATAGGAAAGAAGAAATAAAATTCTCATTTTACAGTTTGACATGATTCTGTGTGAATAATAATACATTTACAAATACAATAGTCCCCTGTTATCCATCAGAGATACATTTCATTTTTTTTTTCTTTTGAGACCGAGTTTCACTCTTGTCACCCAGGCTGGAGTACAGTGGCGCAATCTCAGTTCACTGCAACCTCAGCCTCCAAGTTCAAGTGATTCTCTTGTCTCAGCCTCCTGAGTAGCTGGGATTACGGGTGCCTGCCAGCATGCCTGGCTAAATTTTGTATTTTTAGTAGAGGCAGGGTTCCACCATATTGGTCAGGTTGGTCTCAAACTCCTGACCTCGGGTGATCCGCCCACTTTGGCCTCCCAAAGTGCTGGGATTACAGGAGTGAGCAACTGTGCGATACCTTTCAAGACTTTCAGTGGATGCCTAAACCTACAGGTAGTGTAAAACTCTATATAAATACTATTTTTTCCTATAAATACATATCTATGCTAAAGTTTAACTTATAATTAGGCACAGTAAGAGATTAACTATAATACCAATAACTAATAATAAAATAGAACAGTTATAACAAAATGCCAGCATCACTACTCTTGCATTTTGGGGCCATTATTAAGTAGAATAAGTATTACTTGAATATAAACACTGTGATATCACAACAGTGCATGATTTGCATCTCAGGAGGGACAGAATGGAACAGCATGAAATTTTACCACACTAATCAGAGCAGTGCACAATTGAAAATGTATGAATTGTTTATTGATGGAAATTTTCATTTAATATTTTCAGACCACATTTCACCATGGGCTACTGAAACCACAGAAAGCAAAACCACAGATAAGGGGAAACTACTGTAATGACTTGGATTCCATAATGTTTACTGATGGTTGATAGCATTTCTTGTCATTAAGTTCATTCCTAGAATGTGGAAATCTCTTCAGTATGTGGAAGCACTTTGTCATTCCTCAAGTACATGCAGCAAAGATCTTGCTTTTGCTATTACTCTTTTTTCTCTGCAGGTCCTATCTAACTCCTGTACGGGATGAGGAAGCAGAGTCTTTACGGAAAGCACGCTCCAGACAAGCTCGGCAGACACGAAGGTCTACTCAAGTGAGTGTGGCTTTTTTTTTTTAATGTCATTTTGTCTATCTACCCTTCTTTTGGAGGTATGATCAAAACACACTACAATATCCATGTTCATCTGCTGATTTGAACAAACACACACACACACACACACACACACACACACGGCTTGGCATGGTGGCTCATGCCTGTAATCCCAGCAATTTGGGAAGCCAAGGAGTTGAGACCAGGAGCACTCCTGACTTGAGGTCAGGAGTTCGAGACCAGCTTGGCCAATGTGGTGAAACCCTGTGTCTACTAAAAATATGAAAATTAGCCAGGCATGGTGTTGCGTGCCTGTGATTTCAGTTACTCGGGAGGATGAGGTAGGAGAATTGCTTGAACCTGGGAGGCAGAAGTTCCAGTGAGCCAAGATTACACCACAGCCCTCCTAGGCAACAGAACAAGACTCCGTCTCAAAAAAACAAGACAAAATAAAACACATACATGAAAATGACTGCCCTATTCCAGCCACAGTCTTAAAAGCTTTCATTGTATTGAATCTTACACTACATAGAACCAAATTAATTTACAGCTACATCTACCCGTTCTCACCAATATTCCTCCAGACTTAGAACAGGTTTATCTCCTTTCCTTCACAAGATTAATTATTCCACTTGTGCTCAAAGACCTTAAGAACCCCTGTACATCCCTATATCCCTACTACATTTTAAGAATTCCTAAGGGAAAAGAGTTTGGCAGTTCCTCAAAATTTTAAACATAGAGTTACCATTTGACTCAGCAGTTCTGCTTAAGAGAAATGAAAACATATATTCATATAAAAACTTGTATATAGGTGTTTGTAATAGTATTATTCATAATAGCCAAAAAGTAAAAATAAGCCAAATGTCTATTAACTAATGAATGGGTAAATAAAATGTGATATATCCATACAATGGAATACCATTTGGCAATAAAAAGAAATGAAGTACTGATACATGTTACAACATGGATGAACCTTGAGAAAACATTATGCTAAGTGAAAGAAGCCAGACAAAAACACTCCATATATTATATGATTCCATTTATATGAAATATCCCAAATAGGCAAATCCAAAGAGACAGAAATTAGATTAGTGCCAGGGCTAGGGTGAAGGCAGAATTGTGAGTGTGTGGTTTCTTTTTGGGGTGATGAAAATGTTATGAAATTAGATGTGGTAATAATTTTATAACTGTGAATAAACTAAAAACTAAAGAATTGTATACTTTCAAATGGTGAGTTATATGATATAAGGATTGTATTTTAATAAAAATATTACAAAAGGAATCCCTGAGGGAGTCATTGAAGCAGTTTAAGGGAATATGACATAGTCTACATTATGTGTTAGAAAAATCACCCTGCAGATAATTGATGGGAATGGTAGGTAGAGGTACGTTTGCCAAGCCTGGAAGCAAGAAGACTTGCTGGGAAGCTGTATTGTAGTCCAAGCTGTATTGTAGTCCCAGGAAATTACAAGGCAATGAAATCAAGTTGTAATGACAATGAGAATGGAGAGAAGGCTATGAATTTCTTATTTAAAGAAGCAAAGAAAGATGAGCCCCTGAAGCAGGATGAAAAGAAGCAGCAAGAGCGGTGAAAAGAAAATCAGAAAATAGTAGCAGCATGGAAGTAAATGAAAAGTCCATTTCCAGTGAAAAGGAGAAGTTCCACAGTTTTGAATACTACAGAGGTCAAGTAGCAAATTTGATCACTGGAAAAGAGGCATTATATATGGCAGCAAAAACACGCTTGTTGTCTTCCTTGACTCTCCCAAAGTAGGTTATATATTCTTCCTTTGTTTTTACTTGATGATTGTCTATTTCATCCACTAGAATGTAACCCCCATGAGGACCAAGACTGACTGTTTTTTTTTTTTTTTTTTTTTTTTTTTTTGGAGTGCAGTGGCCGGATCTCAGCTCACTGCAAGCTCCGCCTCCCGGGTTCAGGCCGTTCTCCTGCCTCAGCCTCCCAAGCAGCTGGGACTACAGGCGCCCGCCACCTCGCCCGGCTAGTTTTTTTGTATTTTTTAGTAGAGACGGGATTTCACTGTGTTAGCCAAGATGGTCTTGATCTCCTGACCTCGTGATCCACCCGTCTCGGCCTCCCAAAGTGCTGGGATTACAGGCTTGAGCCACCGCGCCCGGCCCTGACTGTTTTTTTGTTTTGTTTTATTGTGGTGAAATATACCTAACATAAAACTTACCAGTTTTACCATTTTTAAGTTTACACAGTTTAATGGCATTAAGTACATTTACATTGTTGTATAACTATCACCACTATTCATCTCTAGAACTTTCTTCCTCTTCCCAAACTGAAGCTCTGTATCCATTAAATAATTACTCCCCATTTCCCTCTTGCAACCCCGCTTCCACTTTCTGTCTATGAACTTGACTGCTAGGAACCTCAAATAAGTAGAATCATATCGTAGTTGTCCTTTTGTGTTGTATTTTACTTAGCATAGTTATCAAGGTTCATCCATGATACCTGACACATCATGATACATGACACATTGTAGCATGTGTCAAAGTTCCTCCCTTTTAAAGGCTGAATATTTCAGCCTTTTATGGATACTGCATTTTGTGTATCCATTCATCTGTCAGTAGACATTGGGTTGCTTCCACCTTTTGGCTATTTAATGCTGCTATGAGAATGGCTATACAAATATCTCCCTGAAACCCTGCTTTCAATTATTTTGGGTATATACCAAGAAATGGAATTTGCTGGATCATACAGTAATTCAATTTTTAATTTTCTGAGGAACTCCCATACTGTTTTCCTTAGTGGCTGTACCATTTTATGTTCCCATCAGCAGTGCACAAGGGTTCTAATTTCTCCACATCCTCACCAATATTTGTTTTTTTTTGTTTGTTTTTATGAGATGGAGTTTCGCTGTTGTCACGCAGGCCAGGGTGCAATGGTGTGATCTTGGCTCACTGCAACCTCTGCCTCCAGGGTTCAAGCAATTCACCTGCGTCAGCCTCCCAAGTAGCTGGGATTACAGGTGCCCATCACCACACCTGGCTAATTTTTGTATTTTTAGTAGAGACGGTGTTTCACCATGTTAGCAAGGCTTGTCTTGAACTCCTGACCTCAAGTGATCTACCCACCTTGGCGTTTCAAAGTGCTGGGATAACAGGTGTTAGCCACCACTCCCAGCCTGGTTTTTTTTGGTAGTAACCATCCTAATGGGTGTGAAAAAGAAGACTGACTATACTTTTGCTCATCTTTTCCACCATCATACAGTAAATAAATCACTATATATTTATTGAGTAAATAAATGAGTGAGAAATAAATGATATGGGAAGATAAATTGCTCTGGATTGATTTCAAGTTTGTTTATGAAGGAATGGGAAGAGATGGGGAAGTTGCTGGAGAGGGGCATAGAATTGAAGGTGGGAGAGACAGGAACATAGAACCGTCTTAGAGGGAAAGATTCAGTAGAGAGGGAGTGAAGGTCCATGTCAAAACTTGAATAGATCTTTGAACTCCTTGAAATGTGTACATAATTTTTGAGGAGATTTTATTAGATTCTCAGTAGTCTTCATGAGATTCTCAAAGGGACCACTGACTCCCAAAGAAAGTAAAATCTAAGCTTCTTAGCATAGCTTACAAAATCTGTTATGACCTAGCCTCTGCCTGCTTTCCTCAAATCACCTATCCTCATTCTCCCTCTCTCCTCCCACTTTCCTTTTTTTGTTGTGTGCTTCATCTTTGCTAAGTTACCTACATATTTCTAAATCATCCATGGCCTCTCTTGTTTCTGTATCTTTGTACAGGATGCCTCTACCTATAATGCCTTTTCTCCCTCCCCCTACCCAAGTTCTTTTTACTCTTTAGAACCCAGTGTTAGGTATTCCTCTTATATATTCCTGTGTTTCTGTTTTAATACTTACATTCTCTCATTATACTGGTCTGTTTTCTTATGTCTTTTCTGCTAGACTAAAAGGTTCTTGACAGTAATCATTTGATTTGTCTTTGTAGTTCTAGTGCCTAAAGACACCTAATTCTTTATTAACAGAATGAGTAAGTAAATGAATTAATAGTAAAAAAGCCAGGTGTGGGGAGGGGAAGCAAGTTGTGGATACAGTACCTGATCAACTACCTTCCAGCTTTGGAACTTCCTTCTTCTGAGGACTCACACACGTAACTACTTGAGTTGGAATCAACTCATGCTCTTTCTAAACTCCTTTTCTCCCTTCTTCTGTAGTTTTGTCATCATTTGCCTTTCTTCTGTCTTGCTGCCCCTATGACCCTGTGGGGCGAACGTTAATTGTTGGACTATCCATATATGATTCCTAGAGTGACTTGGGAATTGATGTTAGAGAAAAGCTAGTCTAGGAGTTTTAAGAGGTTGTGTTGTTGTTATTCTAGCCTAGCTCTGAATTTTCATCTTGTTGAGCTAGGTTTTTCTTTTTTTAAGTAAAATTTTTTTCCCAGTATCTGCTGTTTAGAGAATCTCTGTTTGTAACCATTTGATCTTGGGAGGGTAGGGACCTTTCAAATAAAGATAAGGAGAACTATTTGGTATGGAAAAAGTACATCTATAACAGGCAGACATCAATGTTGACCTATTTTCTGGAGATCAAACTAGAAAAACTAAAGTATTACATTCAAAATATACCTAGACTCAGGCCTGGGTTCTTTGTACAGTGAGATGCTTATTTTAAGCATATATTGCTTGAAGTGACCTCATTATGCATTTTGGGGGGCTTCATTTTGGTATTTGATAACTATTAGATCTTTTTGGGAATACTGCTGCTCAATCAAGAGTTATTCCATGGTTAGTGTGAATCAGCCCTGATCTTATGATATTTTCCCAGGGTGTCACCCTAACGGACCTTCAGGAAGCAGAAAGGACTTTCAGCCGGTCGAGGGCAGAGAGGCAAGCTCAGGAGCAGCCTTGTGAGAAGCCCACAGACACTGAAGGGCTTGAGGGGAGCCCTGAGAAGCATGAGCCCTCAGCAGTTCCAGCAACAGAAGCTGGGGAGGGCCAGCAGCCCTGGGGCAGGAGTCTGGATGAAGAGGTGAGCTCATTTTTGCTGGCATGTACTGTGCTAAAAGCAGGGTAATTAGTTTGGGGAGTGTCTTCTTCACTGATAGTTCAAAGGCTATGTTCTACCTTGCAATGGACAACTTACTCTGTATGGCTGTCTTTAGTTGGGAAACCTGTGTGACAAAAATTTAGAGGATGTTGGTCCTTAAATGACCATTTTTTTTTCTTCTGAGAGTTCACTGATGCTTTTGAATAAATGTCCTTCTATTCTAAAAAGAGAGATCATAGTATGACAAAATGCAAATAAAAATATAAGCATATATTGAGTGTTTACTTTACTCAATACATGCTTACTTTATGCCAGGCACTATTTTAAGTATACTTCTTATGTATTAATGCATTTAATCCTCATAACAACCCTCTGAGGTAAATATTACTATTTCTATTTTATATATGAGGAAATTGAATCACAGAGGTCGAGGAATTTGCCCAACATTTCACATAGCCAAGAAGTGGTTAAGCCAGAGTTTGAACATAGGCAGCCTGACTCCACAGCTTGCTCTCTTAACTGCTAGTGTATTGTTTTTCAAACTCTTATAACCTAAGGGCTTACAAAGCACTCATGAGTGTCACCGTTGGGAAGGACATTTTGATTTATGTTTCATTTCTCTAGTGGAGTTGGTAGTCAAAGGTATAAGTTTATATTTAGGGTGAACATAACTCGTGGTTCATCTAAGATGGTTCCAATTATACAACTGTTGTCTTTGTGTAATTATCATTACCACTCCTTTGCACTCTCAAAAGTGTCCCAGTTTGGACAGATAAATATTATGGTCACTGTGGTTATAGAGGAAAGTAATCTCCTTCTTGCTTTGACTCTGAATGGCTAGATTCCATAAACTGAAGTTCTATTTTGTATTTTGTTTGTTTTATAAGCTACTATTTATTGAGTACCTATTACCAGCTATTCTTCTAAGCACCTAATGCACATTTTCTTATTTAATCCTCATAATCCTCTCTGAAGAAGGTGTTATCTCTGTTTTATAGATGAGGATGTTATGGCTCAGAGAAGCTAAGTAACTTATTCAAGGTCACACAGCTAGTAAGTGCTGAAGCTAGAATTTGAACAAAGATCTGTCTGACTCCAAATGTACTACATTTTATTGTATGTGTCTTTATAAATCACAAAAATGTGTACAATCTCTATGTCATAAATTTAATGTGTAGTAAGGATTTATCTATCTCTGAGTCTTCCATAAACCACGTTAAGGCTTATTGTTAGGCTCTATCTGTCCTAACTCTCAGGTTGAAAAAAAAAAAAAAAAAGACAACAACAAAACAGAATTGCTTGAACCCGGGAGGCGGAGGTTGCAATGAACCAAGATCACACCACTGCACTCCAGCCTGGGCAACAGAGCAAGATTCCGTCTCAAAAAAAAAAAAAAAAGAAAAAAAAAGAAAAAGAAAACAACAAAACAAAACTACAAAAAGGAAAATGGGAACTTTAGAAAGTTTCAATAAGCCTGGTTATGGCAAGCTGGTAGAGTATTCAGAACTCGGTAGGATACATTTGTTCTCTGTTCTCAGATAATCCCTACATTCTGCTGCTTAATGCTCCTGATCTTTTTGTTTCCCTACATAAACCTTGCCTTTCAGCACTCCATCTTAAAAAGGCCATCATTCTTGTTTTCATTCCAAGATCAAAGGAATTTTTTTTACACAGTTAATGCTGTGTAGTACCCTTTGGTCAATTGATGAGTAATTCGCTTGAACTGCTCTCAACATGATGGGATTCTCAGAGTAGGAGTCTAGCAGCTGTTTTTTTTCTGTCTAATTAACTGACTTTAGCTTAGTTCACTTATTGAGGACCTATTCCCAGGTACTCAATATTGATCGTCATCTACTCATAAGCCTCTTAATATAGAAAAAAAAGCATTTTGTATAATCCTGCTGTCCTTATCCTTTAGATGGACTTGACTTCTAGTATCTCATGTTGTGGATTATTTCCAGCCTATCTGTCATCGCCTGAGGTGCCCAACTCAGCCAGACAAACCCACCACGCCAGCATCTCCTTCTACATCAAGACCCTCACTCTACACCAGTTCCCACCTGCCACGGACAAATAGATTTTCAGTCCCTGATTCTGAGAGTTCAACGACTACCACAAATACTACAACTGCAAAGGAAATGGACAAAAATGGTATGTAGAGCTTCAAAAGACACAGGCCCCTCCACAGTGCACATCCCCCAGATTCTTAAAGTTCATACTTTATTTTATCTCTGGCCAGAGAATCAAGAAGCAGATTTGGATGAGCAGTATTCTAGGAGGCTGTCCGTCCGAGAGAGGAGGCGGCCCAAGGAACGACGAAGAGGTACAGGCATCAATTTCTGGACAAAGGATGTAAGTGGATTGGTTTGTGCTGAGGCATATCGTATTACTCTTGGCCACCATCCTTTCAGTTGAGTTTAAAAGAAAGAGTCCTACATGGTGCCGTGAATCTTGCAGATTCTCAGGAAGTATTACTGAGGAAAAGAGAAGAAAGACCTAACTAGTGTGGGACTCATTTGGTATGTTCCTGCTAGATTGCCAGTATCTAGTACAGTGCTAAGCACATGGCAGGCACTCAGTAAATAATTGGCAAAGAATTAAAAAACTGGAAATACACAACAGCCATATAAACAAGTATAACAAGTGAATAAGCTTGTCAAGTTTTAGTAGTCCTTCCTAATATTCCCTGAATGTCATGTAGTGAGTCAACAATATCTTAATGCCACATATGAGCAGAGATTCTAAGTAAATATTGTAGGAGTACTACAAGAAGTTCAAGGAACTTAAAACCTCTAAGTAATACAAGGTCACTTAGTTTTACTCTTTTGGAGAAAAAAACAGAACAAATAACATAAAATAGATGAACTTTGGCTTTCAAATAAAGACAGATATACCAATGTTTACTAACTACAAATACACATTCAGTAGTTCCATTCATCCTCTTCCATATCTTGTTTGGTACCCTTCTCATTCAACCTTGTTATTGGCATTTTAAAGAACAAGTGGCCAGTAACTTGGACAAGAGGACCCTGCCTACCAATGACTCATTTGAAAATTGGACAAACTTTATTCAGTGAGACAAGAAATGAGACAGTAATAGTCATCTATTATAAATTATTTTTAGATAAAAGTATTTTATTGTTATAGGGCCAAATTGATAAGTATTGACAAAGATGAAATTAAGTCTGTCTGTCTGTCGTCTGTCTTAAAGATATCCCTTTTCCGGTCGGGCACGGTGGCTCACGCCTGTAATCCCAGCACTTTGGGAGGCTGAGGCGGGCGGATCACCAGGTCAGGAGATTGAGACTATCCTGGCTAATACGGTGAAACCCTGTCTCTACTAAAAATACAAAAAATTAGCCGGGTGTGGTGGCAGGTGCCTGTAGTCCCAGCTACTTAGGAGGCTGAGGCAGGAGAATGGCGTGAACCCGGGAGGCAGAGCTTGCAGTGAGCCAAGATCGGGCCACTGCACTCCAGCCTGGGCTATAGAGTGAGACTCCGTCTCAAAAAAAAAAAAAAATCCCTTTTCCAATTGTGGTCTATTTGACTTTTTAGACTACAGGTGACATTTCTAAATTGCCTGCCTGTGATGGCTGTGAAAAGTAGCAGTAACAGAGCATCACTTGGAAGTCAATTCTCATTGCCCATGTTTGAAATGCCAAGATGCATAATTGATGGGATCTGACCTTGTTGCTTTCAAGGATGTCTCTGACGATGAGCCTCTTGATTTTCTTCCTTTTTCTTTTTTAGGAGGATGAAACTGATGGCTCTGAAGAGGTCAAAGAAACATGGGTAAGTGACAAACCAGTGAGGCATGTCTCTTGAGAGCACAGTCTTGCTCTTGTATATAATTTTAGTAGAAGAAAGGGCAAGACTTATGCAGATTTTATTTGAGAGGGAGTTTGGAGATAGACATTCCTCTAAGAGATGGGGCAGGTGTTAGTTTGTGGTACTGTTTTCTCATGTGGTATAACAACGCCTGTGCTCTTGAACCAGTTTGCTACATTTTTCTTTGCCTGCTGCCAATCTTTCACCCTGTTATAGGATCCATCATTTTCTCTCTTCTGAGTATGTTATTGGATTATATGAAATACTTTGAAATCTTTGAATGAAAAGTGATACCAGTTCCTTTTTGGATCCACACTAATAGAGAGGGACATAAATGTGGAGAATGTAAAACATCAGACAGTCCCCAAGTCATTTATATTTGACTTTGAGATAAGATTAAACATCTGGCATCTTATATAACTCTGACCTTTTAAGGCCTGACATCCAACTCTTCGCTGCAGTGAAAGGCCTAAGTTCAGCTTTTCCGAAGATACTCCAGGCTCCTGTAAGCCACTCAGACATGATTGGTGGTGGTTTTCTTTTCAGTACTGTTTTCCAAGAAGGAAGGAAATTGGTTTTGACTAAATTATTTGAAATACACATGCTTTTCTATTGAAATTAAGTAAAAAGATGACCTTTTTGTATCCTGCAACTTATGGGAAGTATGTTCTCAGAGTATATTTAATAACCTATACTGAAAATTAACATCTAACTCATCATTAGCAGAGAAGATATAAATAATATACTGTCATTTAACTGCCTATATTTTTGTCTGGATCCAAAACAGACAATAGTAGCCTTCCAGAAAGTAGTGTCTTTAATGACTAATGGTGACATAGGTGAGAATTGCCTGTCCTTGGTTGAAGCTGGGGCTACTTCATAAAGGCAAGCTGTGTGGTGTGGAAATAGTATATAGAGGTTCCTTGGAGCAAGAGTGTGTGCATGTGTGTATGTGTATAAATTACAGCAATTCTTAGTTTCTTCAAGGGGCTTGGAAAGGCTTTTGGAGGTAGGAAGAGTGAATATAGGAAAGTTCCTTTGGGGAATTATAACTCTAAAGAATATGTAACTCAGGAAATGTAACTCAGAAGATCTGAGTTATAGATTATAGAGTACTGAAATGGAACATTATCCATACAGAATTACACAGGCCATTTAAATCCAGGGAATTGCAAAAGGGAAGTTTTTGTTGTCTAAGAATGTCTTTTGCCAGTGAAAATTCTTTTCTCTACTTTTCTAATCTTCTTGGCAGTGGAAAATCCTAGCCTACAGGGTACCAAGTAAGGAAAATTAAGATGATCTTGATTTTAATCTTGATCTCTAGGAAGCAGTACTTCCTAGAGAATTTTACTTTAGGACTGTTGACTTGAAAGTATGAAGAAAAGCAGAGACTGTTGCAGTTTGATGTGAAAGGCATTTGTCAGACTAAAAATACTCCACACATCCAACTGCATAAGGCATTTACTAGTGTTTACCATGTGTCAAGAAAACAACAGTGTGAATCAAAAAGAATAAACAGCCCAGTATCTCTGGACTGGTACATTTGAATTTATGCAGGTAAGCTAGGGAATGCTATAAGAAATATATTCCAAGTTCCAATATCCAGCCTCGCCAATAGTGCAGAAAGAAAGGCTGATAATGAATCAGCATAGAGTGAGGCATCCTTTTTGTCAAAGTCTTATATTTGCTTGTTTCATTTATTTCAGTTAAATTCTTAACTGTTTTTCTCCCTTGAGCACTCTCTCCTAATGCTAGCAGGCATGATGCCGTTATCTATATGGGCCTACAGAGCCACATGCCTCATCATGACCCAGTGTAAATTCCTACATTTCTACCTCAAGACAATCAGTAGTATCTTATGACCACCTCTCTACCCTAAATCCATTTTCATCCATCAGGCAGTACAGTTTACTCAGCTCTGCAACAACAAATGAGCCAGTCAGAGTGGGGGGCATTCTATTGAAATGGTGCTGTTAACTAATCAGCATGGATACAGTTGAGAAGCCAGGGCAGCTCTTTCCTTTTTTGGTTTTTGGTTCAATAAAACTATATCTGCTATTGAGGTCATGCCGACTTCCTTCTCTTCCCTAGCCCACTCCTTAAGAGTGATAGTATCTATTATTTTTAAAGTTATCTCTTCCCAAGACTCTAATATCTTTTTTTTTAACTGAAATATAATTTACAATTAATGCACAGATTTTAAATATAGTGTTTCCTGGGTTTTGACACTTCAATGTACCAGCATAACCACTACCCAAATCAAGATACAGAACTTTTCCATCACCTTAAAACATTTCATCATTAATGCTCAAGAATAAGCAATACTAATTTATGGTGATAGAAATCAGAAGAGTGGTTGCCTCTCAGGACAGAGAATTGAATGGAAAAGATAGAAATCAACCAGCAATAATGTTTAATTTTTTTTTTTGAGACAGGGTCTTGCTCTTTCACCTAGGCTGGAATGCAGTGGTGCAGTCATGGCTCACTGTGGCCTCAACCTCCCAGGCTCAAGTGATCCTACTACCTCAGCGTCCCAAGTAGCTGGGACTACAGGTGCAAGCCACCATGCCCAGCTAATTTTTGGAGTTTTTCTAGAGACGGGGTTTCACCATGTTGCCCAGGCTGGTCTCGAATTCCTGGGCTCAAACAATCCTCCTGCCTTGGCCTCCCAAAATGTTGGGATTATAGGCATGAGCCACAATGCCCAGCCAATAATATTTAATTTTAATGCTAGAAAGGAAGCTTTAATGGTTATTATCTTTATCTTATGCCTCCAGTCAGAGTTAGACCTAAATGATTCAAAATACCTATGGTTTTTTTCCCCCTCTTCTTAAAGATTTCAAAAGAAGATTGTTTAATACTTCACTTATATAGCAGTGACAACAGCATGGTTTAGGAGACCTTTCTGTTGTTTAAACTGAATCTCTATTGAGGTCATTGAAGTTCGTTTCCTTTTTTATATAACAAGAAAAATGTAACCAACATTTATGTACAGGTAAGATATATGGTCAGGAATGGCCATAATGTTTGCTGTCAATAGAATATTTGGTCAGGGAAATGCAAATCAAAACCACAATGAAATAGATCATCTGATCTCTTAGAATGGCTGTTATCAAAAAGACAAAAAATAACAAAACCTAGTGAGGATGTAGAGAAAAAGAAACTCTTAATACACTATTGGTGGGAATATAAATTATTGTAGCCATTATGGAAAACAGTATGGAGGTTCCTCAAAAACTAAAAATTGAACTACCATATGATTCAGCAGTCCCACTACTGGGTATTTATCCAGAGGAAAGAAAAACAGTGTATCAAAGAGATGATGCTCCCTGGTGGTCTAGTGGTTAGGATTTGGTGCTCTTGCTCTCTCTCATGCTCTGTCTCTCTCCCGCTCTTTCTCTCTCTCAGTCTCACTCTCTCTGTGTCTTTCAAAGAGATATCTGCACCCCTATGTTTATTGCAGCACTATTCACAATAGCCAGGACATGGAATCAACCTAAATGTCCATTAATAAATGAATAGATAAATTAAATGTGGTATATGTACATAGTGGAATACTATTTAGCCATAAAGAAAACTGAAATTATGTCATTCACAGCAACATGAATGATCCTGGAAGCCACTGTGTTAAGTGAAATAAGTCAGTCACAGAAAAATAAATACCTCATGTTCTCACTCATATGTAGGATCTTAAAAAGTTGAGCTCATGGAAGTAGAGAGTAGGATTATGGTTACTGGAGTCTGGAAAAGGGGGACAGTCAGAGGTTGGTTAACAGATATAAAATTACAGGTAGGGGAATAAGTTCTAGTGTTCTGTAGCACTAAAGGGTGAATATACTTAATGATAATTTATTGTATATTTTCAAATATTTAGAAGAGAGGATTTTGAATGTTTCCAACACAAAGAAATTATTTTTGGTGATAGATATGCTGATTACCTTGATTTGATCATTACATATTGCATATATGTATTGAAATATCACTTCGTACCACATAAATACGTACTATTATAATGCATCAATTTAAAATTTTTCAGAAGAGAGTATGTGATAGACTAGTCATGCATTGCTATGCTGGGGACAGCAAGGAACATGCTTAGAAGGCTGGGGACCCTACTTAAGCCCAACATAGTACATAATTTTAGTCCGAACCCATCCCCATTGGTAAATCCATGCACCAGTGAAACTAACATGAATATTTAAAATTGGCATCTTAGCACCTGCTTGACAGATGTGTTTAAAAACAATTCTGTTTTGTTTATCCACATTAGGTATATGACAGTCTCTGAGAATCTTAATAGATCCTTTGTCTTTCTAAACAAAAAATAATCTGCATCTTAATTTGAGGAATAGGGTTATTCTAATTATATCTGAAAATGCTTTTATATTCAGCAGTGTGTTTGCTGTTTTCTTTACTATAGTAGTAATCACATAGAATGTTTGCCCTGGAGGGAACAAGCATAGGTACACCACAGAAGGTAATGACCATTGGATTATTTCCATCTTTTTTAACCTGCATCTTTGGCCTGGATTCCATTTTCTTTACATTGAATTTTATCTATTGCTTTCTTACTGTTTTCCCTGTTTACTCTGGAGCTGTTTTCCAAGCCAATCCTGTTGTATAATTGAATTTATCACTAGAGGGCACAAGTGGTCAACAGAAAAGATGTTGGTGCACAGGTAGAATGGTGCCCTAAAGAAGCTGAGCAAAAGACAAATTGCTTTTGTTTTAAAGGAATTGTTGAAAGACGCAGTTCAATGTAGTAAAGGTACTTGCCTCCCAGCTTTTGGTATCATAGGATTGGAAGAGAATCTAGAGATATCTTGGGTTAGGAACCTCATTTTACAGTTAAGAAAACTGAGGCCCAGAGAAATTAAGAATTATTTGGGCATGATATCTCTGCTAGGTGAGCAACCTATACCTTTTTTCAGGGAACCTCTTTGTTTTACTATAGTGAGGCAAAC